TATATATATGAACATGTGTGTGTGTGAGGAGGATCGATTTTTTATTTTTATTTTTAATTTTTAAAATTTTAAAATTATATACTTCATTATATAAATTCAAATGAACGTATAAAATAATTTTATGATTATTTGTCAATTTAAATTAATGAAATGAAATATTAAATGAATTTCAAATTCTATGTATTAAGAATTTTTAATTTAATGATTTGACCGTTGAAATTTAACATATACTATGAGTTATTGAGTGTAATAACTTTATTAAGAATTATTCTTGGTGTAATTTGATCCTCTTTCTCTCTCTCTCCCTCTCCCCCTCTCTCTCTATATATATATAACTCATAAAAAAAATCACTCATTATAAGAGAAATTTTTAATAGAATTACTCCATTAAATAATTCAGGATATACATTAATTTATTTAGTAAGAATTTTTTATATTAATATTATTTTATATTTTAAATAAGTTAACTTATAAGTTTATTATACTTTTTTAATAAATAGGCTAGATAAAATCTTAAATTGATCAACTCGCATGCTCCTAACATACTAGCCATGAACCCTTAAAGTGCACTTGTCGAGAACCACAAAAAAAAGGTGGATTTAATTACATTGTGATAATGATAAAACTTACGAATAGTTCCTTAAATGCAGTTAGTATTTTTTTCCGATTAGAATTGATATTTTATTTTAATATTATGCACTCACATTTAATGTAAATATTATTAATATACATTTATGTATATTATTGAGATAAAATTTTGATCGAAGAAATATAATACCAACTACACTCAAAAAGGCACTTAAGTTTTGTACTTGTGATAAATAGAAAAATCACCTCAATAAAGTTTTGTTTATTTATTTAAACTTGTTTAATAGAAAAATAAATTTTCTCTCAAAAATAATAAAATAAATCTATAATATATATAAAAGTGATCATTTGATTTGATGTACATATTTGTTTAAATAATTTTATCCTTTAATTTTTAAATAATACAAAATATTATTAAAAATTAGTTATTCTTATAAATATGAGATTTGAACTTAAGAACTTAAAATTTTAAGATTTAAACATCAAATATTAATCTAATAAATATGTATAATTCTTAAATATTTTTATTAAATAAAATATAAAAACATAAAGTATCTCAATTCCACTAATATACATAAAATAAATATTTTTCCTTTAAGATAATTTATCCTACAATTTTGCTAATAATAAAAAATGACACATTTATTGAGAAATCACTACTACTCATGCATGTCCTTGGAATTTGGAAATAGGTGTTCTGGATGCTGTCTACGGTGTCATTAATCCATCATTTAATAGTAAAAAAGTAGTAACATAAATGCTATTTTCAGATTCCGTTATAAATGATAAATAAATAAATATTAAATATTAGGAGTATTTTTTTCATATTAAATTCAAGGACAATTTTTATGTATGATTTTAATAATTCTTTAATTAAAATAAGTTTTATTTTAATAATTAATGTGAAATTGAGTTATTATTTTAGTTTTTTAAATTATTATAATTTCAATTGTAAATAGTTAGTCTTTTTCTCATACTGAATCAACTAAACACTCATATACTCATGTGGTACATTAAATGCTTTATTTATACTTATTTGGTTAACTGATGACAATTTGGTTATCAGAAATTACTACTATTTCAGTCCATAAAACTATTAAGATGTGCTCAACTTAGTGCATTTAACTATTAAACATTGAAAATAACCTTTAAAATAGTAAATCCTAAACTATTTTATACTTTTAATATATTAAAAAAATTTACCCGTTTATCTAATATTGTCATAAAATATTAAAAAAAATATTAAAGAATGTATTGGATTAGGATTTTAAAAGATTTTTTAATTGAAAAAAGTTATGTGAATTTTAAAAGACTTTGTAAGATTTTTATGACTTTTAAAACTTTATAAGATTCTGCAAGATTTTAAATTAGGATTTTAACATATTCTGCAAGACTTTTAAGTCAATATTTTAATGGATTTTGCTGAATTTTGTAGACTTTGTACAATTTCATGAATTGTTGACATATGATAAAAGTTTAATATTTTTTTTCATACATTCAAATTTAAAAAGAATCAAAGATAAATTTTTTAAATTTTTATTTGCTTTCAATTATTCACTCATGAAGAAATATTTTTAGTATTAAATTCTAAGATATCATAATGTCTTATGTTAATTTTCTATTAAAAATAAAAAAAATTCTAATTTCACAATATAAAAATTTAAAAAATAAAATTCATAGTAAAAAAATAAATAAAATAATTGTTGAGTCATGAAAGGAGGAATGATAACAGTAACAAACTCAAGAGAAAAAAAGAGATCGTTGTTTTTGTGTTGAGATGGTTCTTCTCTCAACTAAGATTCATTCTCTTATCTCATTCTACTCACAGAAACCCTGACTCAAATTTATATATATATATATATATATATTCTATAATTGATTGTAAAGATCATGATATCAATTTTAACTTTTACCTTTCCTTTTTCTTGACGCATGTTATAAAAAAATTATTACTTAAAAGTTAAAATTTCAAACATTCTCTTTATTATATATCTAAGGAACAAACTCAACTAAATAGAGCAAAATAAAAATAACTTAATTAAAAAGAATGGAGAGGAGAAAAGAGCAAGTCAATGCACTGTCATTATGTATTGGAGTTTCATCAAATAGGAGAATGCAATGAAAATAATAGTACAATATCATATATGAGCAGTAATGAAATATTATTAGTAGAAAAAAAATAGAGAAGACAAGAGCATAAAAAAAATGAAAAACTCACTTGAAAAGTCACTTCAAACAATCTTCCAAATTCTGATGGGTTTGGATGAGATTGTTTTATGAATTTGATATTTGTAGATACTACTAAAAAGTCCTTCAGAATTTGTCTAATACAAAAATCCTTTAAATTCCTTATATTTTTTTTAATACCAATGAATTACTTTTAAGTTGTAAAAAGTCTCAAATGAATACCAATGAAATTTAATGGATTTTTTTTGAAAAATCTTGAAAATCCAGATTGAATACCACTGAATTACTTTTAAGTGACACAAAATCTTGATTAAATACCAACAAAATTTTTTAAAATTCTTTTAAAATCCTATGAAATCTTAAACCAATACACCCCCTAAAAATATATTGCATAAAAATGTAACATTATTTCAAAAAGTATATATATATATATATATATATATATATCAAAAAATAAAAAATAAATAAAATTTTCAAAATAATTATAAAAATATTTAATAAAGTACATAATTTTATTTAAATTAATATCTTTAAGATATTTATTAAAAAAAGTTATTTAATATTTTATTTCTTTATATGTCATTTAAAATTAAAACATAAAAAATAAAAATAATAATTTTTCTATGTTTATTATTATTATTATTATTATTATTTATATAGTGTTACAACATAAATTTGATCTCTCTTAATTATTACTACAAATTTCATAAATTATAATTTATCTATTTTCTGATAATTAGTAATATGATTGAAAATCATAATTATTATTATTATTCGAAATTTTTTAAACAAAAGATATATACCTAAAAATAGTATATTTTTTCCCAAATGTATGCAATGATTTTTTTTGTTAAATAACTTCAGTCTTTTTGCTTTTAATCATTTCGTTACATCAATATCACAACATTTGTGAATATTTTTCTTATTTAAAAATTTATATTAAATAAGTTTATATTTTAACATAATAAAGATATTTTTCATTAAACACTTTAAGTTTTAGTTTAAATATATTAACCAATAAACTAAATATATATATTTTTGTAATTTTAAATATGATTAAAATATATTTTATCCTTGTAATTTCACTTATTTTATCTTTTAATCCATATAATTTAAAATAGTTAGATATTTTTAGTCATCATACTTATCTTTTTCAATATTTTTAAGTTTTTATAATTTAAGATAGATTTTGTTAGTTTATATACTTGCAAATTTTAATCATTTTAGTTCCTGAAGTTAATTTTTTTTTATAATATTTTTTTGACGTGACAAAGTTATTAATTTAACTTTATGTGTCAGTTGTTAAGTTTATTTTGTCAAAATTATTCTAAATTAGACTTCCTACACTATGTGCTTTTTTTGTAAGCATACCTACAATTCTCATTATCGAGATACGTTTTTCTTATTCTCACAAAATTGAATATATCTATCAAGTTGACACAAAATAGACAACATTAAAAAAAATTAACTTTATGAACTAGAACTATTAAAAAAATGTGAATATAGAAAGTAATTTTTTTTATATCTTAAACTATAAGAAAAAAAATACATTGAAAAATATAAGTATCGAAATCGAAAAGATTATTTTAAATTATAAAGATTACAAGATAAAGTAAGTGAAATTATAGTGATTAAAAAATTATTTTAGCCTTAAGATATTAAAATTGATCAAATTTTAATAAACGCTAGTTTTTTTTTTTCAAAGACCAGGTTTAAGAAAATATTTTGTATTTTCATTTTCTATTTCTATTTTCAAAAAATAATTTTTCATTTTCAAATTTATATGATTAGAAAACATGTTTGTTTTGAGAAATTCTTTTTTATTTTTAAAAAACTAAAAATATGTTTAGTTTAACTATTTGAAAAACATGAAATGTTTTTATTATATATATTTTTTAAAATTAATATTAAAAGTATATTTATGTGGATCTATTAATTATATAGAGAATATATAAAGTTAAAAGGAGTACCTTTAAATTTTAATTATAATAATTATCAATAAAGATAGTGACAATAATGATCTATTAATTAACTATTGTCACTATTATTTTTCTTGAAAAATATTAAAAACTAATAAGGTACTTCATTAAATTTTAATTATAATGATTATTAATACAAGTGGTATTATTGTTACTATGATTGTTACCACCATCATTATCAACACTATTATCATTATTGTTGTCATCAAGTGATAGTGATGACAATGATAATAACTATGACAATGATAATAATATATGATGATAACATCTCTTCCAACATTATTACTATTGTTGTTGTTACTGTCATCCTTATCATCATCACTACTTGATAACAAAGATGTTGGTGGTAATAATGGTAACAATATAATAATGGTAATAATGGAGTTGACACTATTCATTACCATTATTATTATTATTATTATTGTTATTGTTGTTGTTACTATTATCATCATCTTTTTTTCTTAGTAAATACTCCTTCTATTTTTTTTTCATAGTTGTTTTGTCAGTATTTTATTTTATTTTTTTCATTGTCACTTTTATAAAACCAATAACTAATTAATTTTCTTTTTCATTTTTACCATTAATAATTAATGTATGTTTAATGAACAACGTGTCTATTTATTTTTTAATGTATCTATTTCTTCTCCAACCACCTAAAGAATATAATAAAAAAATAGGTAATAAATACTTTGAAAAATTAAAATATCAATCATTTTCTTAATTCTTGTGCATAACTTTAAACGACAAAGAAAAAAAAAACAGAGGGAGTAGATGATGGAATGACTACATTTGAAAGAAACATTTTTTGTTTATAATTATGGTTTATATCATCACTTTTTTCTTGAAAAATATTGAAAACGAACTTTTTTGTTTTGAATTTTCCCTTTCTTAAACCTTAACAAACATATTTCACCACTATTTTTCATTTTTACTGAAAATGAAAAAAAAAATATAGACATACCAAACAGTCTAATCAATTTTATATTTTGTTTCCTTGATCGGTATGCTAAACACTTTCTCCAGCTTAAAAAACCACAAATCTAGTATCATAAAATGCATTATTTCATAATTTGATCCATGAACACATCAGGAAAACCGATATACTTATACAGTAATGTACTGGACGTTTATTCCACAAAATGCATAGTGACAGCAGACACACAAACTGATGATTACAAAGTATGGGATACATAATGCAATATTAAGAAATAAAGGTAGACAACAATGCAAGAACGGGAATTCTGATAATTAACATGAAAAAGTGTGTAGACACATGAAGAAGGAGATGCAAATGCAAATGCAAAGGTCTAGGGGCACTTGAGTTTGTTGCCATGAGTAGTCATGTCAGTGTAACACTTCCCACAGACCTCTCTGTTCCCATAGGTGCCTGGAGGAACACACTTGCACCTGAAACAGCATGTCCCGCAAGCCCTCGTGCAAATCTTTGGCCTCGAGTGCAAACTGCACCTCACTCTGCACCTAACTCCACAGTCTTCCAAAACCACAACATATTCCTTCATTACAACAATTCACTAGAGCAATAATAACAATTTTTTTCTTCTTTTTAAGAACATCAAGTATCAAACAATTTGAGTTTGATTTTGGAAATAAATTCTAAATATAAGTATAAAAAGAAAAATAGTGTGACATACAAACAAAACTCAACTAAATTATCTATATTTAATATTATTATCTTCAGAACACCGATTATTTAATTGTGATTGCACTTTAATGATGCTTTTTAAATGACACTTTTTTAATTGAGATCACAAGATTCAAGAAATTATTTAAAGAAAATAACATTCTAGTTTCATTAAAATTACTGTAATAAACATTATTAATTTTTTATTAGTAAGAATTAAAATGAGTGCAACATATTTCGAATCATCATAAATATTATTATCTACTAGCAAGAGAAAAGATATCCTAAGTCATCGTTTAATTACTTTTGTCAATAAAAGATATGCAATTATTATACACTTATTAAAAAAAATTGTATCATTTTATAATATCTATTTAACAGTATCTTATTTTTATTTAAAAGGTTAAAATTATCTTAAGTAAATTAAAGTGTATACAAAACAAAAAATCTTTTTTATAAATAAGTATAAATTTAATTATTGTAATATTATTATATGTAATGAGATGGAAATTTAAAAAAATGGACATAAAAACAAACGAAACTGTAAAAATAGTTTGCTGCCTTGCAATTTAAAGATGTGTTCAAACATGATGCAAATACAAGTTTGACATTTAAAATTTATGTATTTCCCCTGTAACTTTGGTATGCAGAAGCACAAATCAAAGTTCAGAAGGAAAAAGAAGAAATTAAATGTGAAAATCGAGTGAGAAAAGTAAATAGAAATCATACCCACAAATGACAAAAACCTTCTATTGGGTCCTTTCACCAGCTGCAAAACAGAAGACACAGTGAAAACAGTAAAAAGCAATGCTAAATGTTAATAACTTACAAAGGTGGTTGAAAGAAACGACATGCAACCTCAGAATTGGTGAGATGGCCTTGAGAGTTGACATTAGAAACAGCATGTGACACCTGCAAATTAAGCTAAAAAACTTGAGCCAAAATTTTTCTAATTCTAATGTTAATTAAAACTGTAGAGGAATATGAGCATGCATGTTTAGGAGTACTAGCTCTTACATTTGGCATAAAGAAGAGCGACGAAGCCATGAGAAGCAGCAACAGTAAACTCTTGTTTTTCTTCTCCATTTTGGGAAGCACTATCTACCAGCCCAAGTTTTCACTGTATATATGAGGAGGGACCTGAAGGTTGAGTATCATCTCAAGGCAGAGGTATTTATATTATTGAATTCTCCTATTGCAATTACAATGACACCCTTTCCTTTTGTTATTAATGTCGTGAATAACTTTTAGGCTGGGTACATCGAAAATGGAAGTAGGTAGAATTTAATTCATTCACATTTCAACCCATAAATTTTACCTGCATTAAAAGCCATTTTTCTTTTATTTTGTTAAGGAGAAATTATTAGAAGTCCTATTTTTAATATAAGTTTTTTAAATCTTCTAATACTATTAGAAATAAGAAAGTGATAGGGGAATATAAATAGTTTGGCAACATTCCATCTTCCCGACTACTGTAATGTTTTAGTTTAATAAATATAATATAGTATTTTTTTTTTAGCATCATTGTAATTTAATTGATATAGAAATAAGTATATTACATTGGTTTGACATTGAACCGATGTAGAACAGGGTTTATTATATTGCATCAGTTGAGCCACAAGTTGAACTGATGTAGAACGGGGTTTATTACATCAGTTGAGCTACAACTGTTTTAATGTCTTTTAAATTTTTAAAATGCATAATATTTTTAATATTGGTGGCTGCTAGGCGCAGTGCTGTTGTTTTTCGTTTTGTTTCGAAAATCCTTTGCATGCGTTGTTGTTTTTTTTATTTTTATTTTATACATCTAGGAAGATAAAGGAACATGAACTACAATAGTAGTATATATAGTAAGATATAAAAATCGACAGATATAATATATGTAAGTTTATATTTATTTAACTTATATTCACATCACACATAACGAGAACGTGGACGAGTGGGAGCTAGGTTGGAGGGTTCACAAGGGTTCAGAAGCAGATGCTGACGGTGGCGAGGGTTCGTGGAGGCTCACGATGGCGAGGCGTTGGCGAAGTCAAGGAAAGAAGATGAAGACAAGTGTTCGTGATGCTGTCTAGTTTGGGATTGGGGGGAGGCAATCACAACGTCGACTAACACTTTTTCATTCCTTAAAACTAACGTTGACATTGATTATTTAACCGATGCAAAAGACCCCTCCCGTAGACATTGTAAGTGTTTATGAATTTTATTCAAATTTGAAATATGATGAAAATGGACTTTAAGAATTTTAATATTCCCTCCCATTTAAATAACAAAAAATATTTGTGTTTTTCAATACCATTAGAATCTGTTTAAATAAACATAAATTTCTTTTGAATAAGTTTTTCTTATTTTTATCACTTAAAAGTATGATGGAAGAATTTTACCTAAACAAATGGTTATTAATGAATAGGGCATCTTCTCCTTACTAATAAGTAATAAGGTCTCAACTCTGAGTCTCTGATAACATAGCATGGCATGTAATGGATTTTTTGTGGTGTAGCGAAAGACAGGTGGCCTTTAAAAAGCATGGAGCATGCATGCATGAAGACCAGAGAAAGACATATGTACAAAACTCAAATTAATAAGTGTCCTTTTCTACAGTTCATAGATACAAAAACCAAAACTCATCTGCTTTGAAATGGCCAAGAATCTATGTGTGAGAGTGTCAGAATGAACTCAGAACTGCCCCCACAACCATTTCCTGATTCACTGTCCTTGCGGTCCTCAAATGGCTATGCCCCGAATTCAGGGGGAGTACTGAGTACACAACATCAATGTTATCTTCAACATTTTTAAAGCTTTCAGAAATGAGTAAGATAATATGATTAAAGCGCGATATATAACAAATTCAAGAGACTTTGACCTAGATCCCTATGATATGAAAAAGTATATGTATACAAACATATTTTACAAGGAGTTCTTTAACTCAATTTCCGCAATAACCAGAAAAAGAATTTACTCATCGCTCTAATTTCCAAAATTTTGAAGTTCTCACACCCCAGTTTTTTATTTTATTTTTAGAAGTGATAATAATAATATACTTTATTGCCACGTTTAAAAAGTTTTATTTAGCCACGCTAACAGGTGCACTATCATATTCGAAACCCATTATTTAGCTATATATATTCACAAACCATGCATGGCCAAAGTGGTCAAAAAGTTTTTCACACTTTTTATCGTGATTAATTTGTATTGAATTTTCTAAACATAAAGAGTTTTGCATGGTTAAAATAACATCGTTCTCTTATTTTTTTTTAACACAAATTCTGCAGGTGATTTTTTTTAAAATGAAACTCGTGAAGTTGTTAGGAAAAATTACGCTGATCTTTCCCGTAACTTCATTGATGATTTGATAGTTGAGTAGCATAGATATCATTATTATGCTTGTACGGTGATTTATTGAACTCTAGCTTACCCTTCTGTTTCCATGTGGTTGGACTGCGATGATCATACTTTGTATGGGAGAAAATCAGGGCTAGTTAGGAGTTAAGGTGACCGCTGCGCGAGATGATGAATTTTGTCCTAGTGTCAGAGTTACCTTCTTGGGTAACTGTTGTTTGTGCTTAACCGGTACTAAGGTTATATTATTTGGATGAATGTACATATTTAGTGTCGTATTTGTACATAGAAACATAGTTCTATTATATATATATACACACCTGTATGTATGAGTTATCCAATTTTAATATTTCTCCTAGTTCACTATTAGTAGTGCAATTCCACTAAGGGTAGGGACCATGGCGGGTCGTTACAATGATTATTCTACAAACTTTCATGACTCACGATATTAAAAGTAGAGGAATGTTACTCAACTAATATTGCAAACCATTGCAAAAATTAAAACAATTTATAGGTGGAATATGTTTTAATATTTTAGTTAAAGAAAAGTCCTAGGCTAGACACATGCCATAAGGCATCACATGCAATAATGTATCATACATCATACATGGTCAATCCACCATCATGATCAATATCATCCTCATATGAACATATACACATGCCATATCATTTAGATGAGTTTCCTTTGACTTTGTTTTTGAATTCAACATGCTCTTCCATCTAATGTATCCAATAGCACGTGCACAAAGTTTGTCCATGCTACCTTGTTGTCTACGACATAAGCTATCAACAAAAGGTCTCGGTTTGAGAGTCATGAGCATAAAATGTAAGGCAACTTTAGGGGTTAGAGTGTGAATCTTTATGCAGATGCTAGCAAAGCATTCTATAAATTATCTTAATGATTCATCGTCTCCTTGCTGCAAGTTGGAAAAAGCAACTAAAGTGATATGATGAGGTCTACTGGTGGTATAGTGAGTTGTGAAGTAACAAACAAGAGCATCAAAATTGTTTATAGATCTTAGTGGTGGTTGAGTGTACTAAGTCAATGTCACTCCTTTTAGTTACATCAAAAATACATGACACATGATAGCATCTTCATTTGTGTAGAGATTCATTTGAGTGATGTACGCATCAATGTGCTTGTTAGGATCAAAATTGTCATCATATTGTTCAATGTTTAAAGTTTTCCAACCTATAATTAAGGGAACTCCATTATTCCATCAACGAAAACGTGTCATCAAACAAGATGATGACCTTGCAAATGGTGAGATTAGCTATGAATGGTTGCATGTTCAAATCGGTATGTATGATCAGGAAAAAAATGATATATATTCTTCTTCTTCTTTAGTAGGGACATGACTGTATTCATTTTGTGGTTGTTGTTGTCGTAATTGATTTCAAATGATTTTATTCTCATCATACAATGTCTAAAGATCAGCTACATGCTAACAATGTGTTGTTTCCATTGCTTCAACATTTTACTTCGTATGGCTTCAATTTGGTCTACTAGTTTCCTTAGTGCAACACTATCTTCCATGGTTGATCTTCCTTGATCTACTACTCCAATAACACTCCTAGCATGGCTTTGAGTTGAAACCATAAGTGGTTGAAGGAAATTTCCTACAACCCTACAATGGGTACTTAAAGGTTCTTACCAAAATAAACTTGAAAGGAATGCTTATTTTGTAAGATCTCATTTTCTTCTCATCTCTTGATATTGGGTTTTATTGCCTTGATCTTCATTTCAAATGCGAGGGATGTACCTACAAAATGGACTTTGATGATCAAGTTAGTTTACTTGGTCAATCCTCTTGTCATATTATACGCACTTATCTATTGATTAATCGAACTTGTTCAGTTTCATTGGTTCCATAACCATCGTGGTTAACAAGTGAGAAAACAAAAAATCAACTTGCACATTGATCGATGTTTTACAAGTTAATACATGAATATCTTGACTGAGTTAATATACCAACTTAACTACATGTGTGGTTTAATTATAATTAGAGATTGGTATTTTAAGTTGGTAATACATGTGCACAGCTGAACTTATGATATTGGTTAGGTTAGTATATAAGTGAAGAACAATTTTCACCTTACACTCCAATTTTATAAAATTGAGTTAGACTATATATTCCACTTTATTAACGGTATCAAAGCATATCATAGCTTATATCTTAATAATTATTGATTATTATTGGACTTATCGTGTCATCTACTATAGTACCACCTATATAAATTTTCAATTCTACAAATTTCACGTTCAAAATGTCACTTGACATGAAATAAATGTGTTGGAGATTCAACATTGATAAATGATAAAGTCATAGAAGTATATATAAATGAGGAACAATAATTACTTTATAAGTTAATTTTGTAAGATTTAGTTAAATTCTAATTTACTTTTTTTTAACATAAAAATTTAACTGTATTTTTAATTTACGTATGGAGCTCTCATAAAAATAAAATATATATATCTTTTAATTTACGCATTTATGAGGTCTTAAACAACAATAATATTGTATTGACTTTCTTCATTGATTGTAATATTTAATTTGCATGGTTAGAAGGCAAAGCACACCCCTTAAGATTGGTCTATGCATGGCATGCCCTAACCGTCCATGAGCTGTGGGGATTCTGTGATGATATGATTGAGATAAAGAAAATAGATTAGAAAACGTGCCTTATTCCTTTTCATCACCACCAAGCGATCCAAACTGACACGTCATGCGGCTATTCAAGATCACAAAAAGTAGTCACAAAATTACGTTTTGATTTGAACGTGGAAGGGTATATAATGAAGAGCCTTATCGCTACGTGAGATTTTTCCCATG